GAGACTGCGAGAGGAGAGCGAGATGGGAGGAGATGAGTGGGAACTTGGGAGAACTTGAACCTGGGAAGGGAGCGAGGGAGGGAAGGAGAAGGACGAGTCGGACAAGGGACAAGCTCTTGTCTCGTTTGGGGGGCTTCCCAGCTGGTTCTGGTTCCGTTAGGTGTCCAGTTCTGGGCTCGGTCCCCGGGAACACGCCCAACAAGACCAGCAAGGCCTGGCGAGATCTCAGGCGGTGGGCACTGCGCAGTGGAGAGAACCAGATGGGGGAGGTGCCCAACGAGAGACGCGGGAGAGAGAGGCACGTGCACGCCCCAAGCCCTCAGTCGGCCCAAAGGTTGCAAACCCCCCAAAAAGCTCGCCCAGAAAAGAACAAGAATTATGAGAGAAAAGGGGAGGGGGGAATGAAAATAAAAGAAGACGAACAAGGTGATAGGAGAGAGGATGCAATATTCATCTTATTATTCCATTCTACGGAGCCACTAGGGACGCAGGACAGAGACACTTTACGTGGAAATCTTGTAAAGAGAGCATCAGGAGGAGCGCATGCAGTAGCAGCAACGGTAGTCCACTCTCTGGCAACGACTCTCCATCCTCCCACTGCAGAAAGAGGAGGGATATTCACCACTCCTTTGCGCTTTTCTCATTGTGAGTGCTCGCTTCACTTTGCTCGGTTATGCCCAAGTCGCAGCCATTTCTCCATCATTTCTCCATCATGCTGCAGAGCACAGACTCGTGTGTCTTGGATCCCAACACCACATGTGCACGGTTTCCCACTTGGCCATTCCCCCTCGATCATCATGTGGCTTTTCCTCCACCCTCGTCATACTCGTAGGCATTGAAAGTGCTGCTCAGTCATGTTCCGTAGTGTTCCATGATGGTCGTGTGCCCTGGAGCTGTTCGCCCCCATCCGTCTGCCATGGACGCGTCGAGTCTCCCGCGAGAGACGCGAGATCGACGCGTTCTCAACACTAAACACGCTAAATGCGCTAAATACGCGAGCCGAGTTTGAGTGGTCCATGGACTGCCAATCAACATCTGTGTCTGCCTTATGGCGCTGACGCCACTGCGAGCCACTGTGAGCCACTGCGAAAACGCTAATGCCAGACTCCGAGTCCGTCTTTCCACCGCCGACCATTTCTTCGATTCCGCTCACGGTCTGTCCATCAAGCTCAATGGCTTGGGTCGTCAGGATCACTCCATACCTCTGTACCTCTCTCATCCTCACCCAGCTGCTGACGTTGATCTCAATCCCATCCCGTGACCCTGCATCACAAACTATCAACACCAATACATGGCCGTTTACTGTTGAAAACCCCCTGGTGCTGGTGGTCCCCCTCCAAACAAACAAACATTCCCGTTCAGCACCTGTGCGCATCTGGGTCGAGTACGGAGTATCCTCCGTCGGCGATCCTAAGACAAGGAAACAATCCCCTTTGTTTCGGCATGTTTCTCTTTGCCCTTACTTCTCAACAGACGTCGGGACCAGCCATTGTCAAAACCATCCATCCCTTGCCTTGGCCCAACGTTGACAGGTTAAAGATCCGACCGGGTGAGTGGGTGGGTTACACGGAACAAAAAAAAGGCCTCTCGTTATTGCTAGATGACGACGTCAAACATAGTACCGGAGTCCCGGGTTGGAACCAACTGGTAAGCCTTCATGGCGCCAATACCTCATTCCCTGATCCTTTTCAAACCTTGTCGGACCCGGACTCTTGGAGATGGAAATCAAATCGAATTGAATCGAGCGACCAGCCCATCTCCATTGTCATTACGAATGTCGTTGCAGCCATTTGGGAACGGATCCTGGACCCTCAGGGTCCTTTTGGTCCTCCGTTTCAGCTGAATCTTAGAGCCCCGTTTGCCATCAGCCCTAAAGCCTTTGAGCTGGATATCATGTCCCATCGACGGAAAGACATATTCGTTCCACAACGAGGAGTGATGTAAGTGAGTAATAGCAAAGAGAGAGCCCATGTCCCATCAAACAGAGCAAACTAACCAGCTCCAGCTGATGAAGTTTGAGCTTCTTCGTATGGGGTGGTATGAGACAGCCATCTAGAATGTCCTACAGTATCATTATTACGGCATCCTCCATCGTTCCATATACAGTCATCATTCCCCGGCCATGTGCGCGGTCTGTCTATCATCCTGCTGGTGTTTCGTGACCCATTCCATAACCAACCCCCCTCCCTTCTCTTCTTACGCAGTCTCCCACCTAGGTAGGAACAAACCTCAAACCTCTCAGGTAAGTGCGGTCCTCCCCCTCTCCCTCACGCTCTCCACGGTGACGCCACCCTGCCGGCTTCCTCCGAATGCTGCTTGGTATACGCCTGGATTTCCATCCTCGCGCCAATCCCTTTCCTCCTGTAGCCGTCCTCCCAACTTCCCACCAGCGCGCGAATCGCCTCTTCAGCAACCATGACGCCGCGGTTGATGTCTTCCACGCCCGTCCAGCCCGGCACGTGCAGGAAAGCCACTTTGCCAAGACGGTCTGGCGCCTGGTCTGTATGGGACTGAGAGGCGCTAAAATTGGACGAGGCTGAGGTGTTCACATCGGGTGACCCCGATAGCGATGACTCGACTTCCTTCGGTTGTGCCGCTTTTTGGATTCCTCCGTTGTCATCGCCATCACTCCGTCTCCGAGACTCCAACCATCGGCGGCTCAAGCTCTCAAACAGGGCATACTCGCACAAAAACCGTCCGGCGTCGCAGGACAACTTGACCACGGCTTTTCTTCTGTTCTCATCCGCCTTGGTCGATGATATAGGCACATTGCTCGTCCCCCACATCAGGTTCAGGGGGATGGTCCCTCGTCCGATGGGCATGAGGGGTACGGCTCTTGTGGCCGGCGCCTCGGCTTCGCTATCTCTCTTTCCATCTTCTGTCAACGCCCTCTCCATCTCCCCTCTCCCCAAGAACCCCCGCTCCCTCAGTCCAGTCTGTACACCTTCCTCCCAACGAGCAAGCACGTCGACATCATCCCATCCGACATACAGCACTTCGGGCACCCCTTCCGTTTTCCACCGATTCTCCCCCCATGTGAAGCCGTCGCAGTCGTCCACGTCCTTTATCCGGTAGTTGTCCCTGTGCCCGCGGGTTTCGAGGGAGTAGCAGTCGCGGCCGCCCGCCATGCCGATGTGCAAGATGAAATCGGGATTGTGGGTCGAGATGAGGGTGGGTACGGTGGTGGAGACGGTGGAGTAGGAGACGCGGATGGCCGAGGGGTAGACGATCAAGGTGATTTTGTAGTCGGGTGATTTCTGCGGAGCGTTGGTCGATGGGGAGGGATAAAGCTCCTCGGGCAGCGCCGAGGCGATCAACCAGGAGGGATTTATGAGGAAAGATTTAAACGGCTAGAGAGAGGGGGGGTGAATATTAGCATGGTCCCAATCAAGGTGAGATAGACGACATGTGTTGGGGGAGGTGGGCAAGAGAATCGAGTCCGCGGATATCCTCCCTAGAGGCTCCGCCGCGTCAAGACGCAAGACCACATAGTCATGTCGCACGGTCATACTTCCACAGCAGCCGGAGAAATAGATCAAGCCGTTTGACGCCTGTCACGGTCCTGCCCCTGTTCAACTGGGGTTCGGGATATCTTCCTGCCGTTCGCCGCCTCCCAAATACATCGCGGAGCGACACCAGTATCGAGAACAAATTCAAAACCCGAGGCCTGGAGAAGAACTTACACCGAACCCGGTAACAAGCACCTTCACCTCCCTTAGGGGAGACGCTCCCTCTGTTTCAATCTGCCCGTCAAGGGCGGCGCTACGTTCAAGGAGGAGCGGGTCCGGCGTCAGAGGACCGGCGTCGCCCATCTTTAATGTGAAGATTTATGTTTTAATAACTTAAGATGTGGTGTTTGCAGGAGTTTGGTTGTTCTTGGCCTGTTCGCCGTTATCGGCCGTCGGTGATGCGCAGTCTCCCTGCGGCACGAGATCTCGAAAGTTGCCCGATCGCAAATACGGGGACGGAACGAAGGAGGGCGAAGGAATTCCGCGGGAATCTGCGGAGTGGGAATGGAAGTGGGATCAAGGAGGTTTGAGAGCCCCGGGGAGAAAGGGAGGTTCGACTCGAGACTGATGGTGATAAATATCGTCCAGTGCGTCGCTCGCAGCGGTCGTCCTTTTCTCTTTACAAATCTGCCGAGAGCGAGGAGGGCACGGATATATCCGTGCGGAAGGGACTGTGCGTGTGGTCTGCGTAGGCGTGAATATGTTTTAAGAGGGAGGGAGAGATGAGAAGGCGACCGGTCCGCTTGTTGGCTCAATGTCAGCACACTTGATGCTGCTGCTGCATCATGCGACGATGGTATACCCAGAGTGTCGCCGCCGTGGTGAATGGACTCGGCGTTGGAATGCCAATGAACACAGGAGAAGATGGCAATGGGCGATTTTAATAATGCGATTGTCAAACGACTTTTCTCGGCTCCACGGGCGGAGACTTTTGAGAGTAAGGTGATGTCAACAGTCCAGGATCCCAAGAACCATGGCCTTACAAGAACATGGTACTGACACACGACTCAAGGGGTCGATGAAAGTCCCAATCTTGAACTCGGGGGTTGATCTCCTCATGCTCTCTCCTCTCCTCCGTGGCTCTTCGACATACCCACCGACCATGAGAGGGGCAAGTGGCCAGGCCCCGGCAATGCCTCCGCATCTCGCGTGGTGGCGCTTCGATCGGAAAGCTAATTCGAAGGAGGTTTCGGTGTTTATTCACGTTGGTATGTGGACTGAGTTCTGAGACTGTATCATTGTCGCTGCCTGCGCATTCAGCAGCTATAGATATTGATCTCTGTACCATGCGCCATCCGAAACCCATGTCTCTCGAGAAATAACCCCCCGTTCGTGACTGTCCAAGAGATCCCACGTGTCGAACTCTGCATGAATGTTCCGTGTATCCAATAAACAAGCCCCCCAACGCCTCGCTTGGTCGTGGTCTTCCAATAATCTCCCAGTCGCGCCATGGTATCCAACAACTAAACGCGACAACACCTCTCTGATCCCCTACTTTGCGCATACCAACCGTTCCATCCGTCTCAAACTTGCCCTCAAATCCCGTCCGCCTCGTTCTCCCTCTTCCAAAAGCCACTTCTCCATGGTCGTCCTCACTCTCCTCAAATTGCCCTGAATTGGCATCTCCTCCCCATCGGCAACACAGCCTGGATTCAGAAGGGCCGCAAACACATCTCCCCAAATATCCTTCTCCCAGTATCGCTTGAAGTTCTCCTTCAATTTGCATTCCTTCTTTTGTCCTGGTCCTGCCAGCGTGTTGCCTCCCGCTGGGACCGTCTCAATGTATTTTCCAAACAGCAACGAGTGGATCACGCCAGCAGCCCCGTGATAGTCAATCTGCCACTTCCAAGGGCGACATTCGCGGATTTCCGTACAGTCCTGAGGACAAGACGGCCAGTCGGCGATGAACTGTGCGTTGGGCTTGAACATGCGCGTATCGATTCCGCGGCCGAAGTCAATCAGCTTCAGGCCCCGAGACTGCCACCCGTGATTTCCCTCCGGATCGAATGGTGCCGTGACGTCTAGCGCGGTATCAAAGCGGACAAGGCAGTTGTCGGCCTTCAAATCGCCGTGGATGATGCCCACGCGATGAAGGTCCTCCAAAGTCCGCAGAAGCTCGACACTGAACCACATTGCCAATACTTCGTCCAAACCCTCGGCCGGCTTGCCGGCTTTGACGTTCTCGGTCCGCGCCATGTTGACCAAGTCGAGCAACGTACCTTGCGGACTGTATGAGAGGACGAGGTATGCTTCGTCGTGGTAGAGATGGCATTCGTGAGCGAGGATGATGGACTGCATGCTTCGCGAGGCGGAGCCGAGACGCTGTCTGACCAGACGAACAATGTGGAATTCCCAGACTAATGTATCTGGAGGAGATTCAGTCTTGAGAGCTTCCAGTGGTTGGCGGGCCGGAGCAAGGTGGCATGACGGTGGGCTCTTGTTCTCTTTGTTCTCGTCTGCCCCTTCATTCTCGGCTGGGTCGTGACTGTCGACCAGATACACCGGCGCAAATGCTCCTTCACCCAGTTCTCGCTTGACCACATAGACTCGAGTTGTGTCACCAAATTTGAGGACTGGAGGGACCGCTTTACTGGGGGTTTTATCGTTCTGACTCTTTCTCGGACTGGATTTAGCTTTTGTCTTTGCCTGCTTTTCCGCAAAAGACTTCAACGCAGGATAGTGCCCAAAAGTGATAGTCGAATGATCGTGGTATCCCCTTTGTGTGGATAGGGGTGGAAAGACCGAACTGAGGATCTGCTGTCGAACAGCGTCGTCACACGGATTGCATTGCAGGTCCGGGATAATCGGACCTTTACGGACCGTTGTCAAGGGCGATCTAACAACCGGCTTAGGTGGCAGAGCAGAAATCTTCAAAGCGTCTTCCGCTGTGTTTGAGGCAGCGACAGGGAAGGAGTTCAGATCTGTCGTCTTGCTGGGATCTTTCTTCTGCGGCGAGGGCGTAATCACCTCATCCTCGCTCGCACCATATTTCCTCTTCGCCGCCAGAGAAGCAGATGTTGGAGTCGCAACTTGCTGGTGTGGGCTGCCTAGGAAAAGATCCTCAACACCGATTTTCGATGGGCTCTTATACTGGGACCTGCTAGGGGTCTTGGAGTCAAAATATCCGGGAGCGTTGAAGATAGTCGAAGGAGCAAATGAGGATTCAGTTCGCTCTGCGATGGGTGTCATGAATGGCATCTTGTTCTGTGCCAGCATTGATGGGTCACGATAAGGTCGATTTGGGGTCGGCTCATAGTCGACAGGGGGGATGGGGATGAATCGAGGTTTATGTGGGATCTCTCGGTGTTCAGGGAATTCGTTCTCGACTGGAGTAGCCAGAGCATCATCATCAGTGACACTGTGATTGGCAGGTACCTCCTGTTGCTGTGCCTCTTCCTCCTCTGGTATACCTTGGTTGGCGGAAGTATCCACAGTCACGTCTTGCTCAACGTCGACATCTCCCGCGTCTGTCGCACCCTCATCGACGTCACCGGCCATCATGGCGATGGCTTTGGTGTCTAGGTCGTCGAAATTGCCTCCAGCGATGGCAGCAATCGCTTGCGTGTCAAACCCCCCTAAACCAGAAGTCTGCGTTGGGTTTTGGCTGGACGAGTCCATACTCTCTGTCATGTCCTCAGACCTGTCTCGACGTTTGACTTTGCGCTGATTTTTGGCTGAAGGTGCTTTGTCCTTGACACCAGCCAGGTGTGTTGAGTCGAGACGCGGCACGTGTTTGCTGGTGGTGAAGTCGGACCAGGGAGAGACACATTCGGTCTGGCTCTGACTCTGTGGGTGATTCCTTCTGATCGAGGCCAACGTATCGTCACCGTACTCACTACCAGGCGCTGACACTCGTCCAGTCTCTGTGCTCTCAGCATCACCCGGAGTACTGTAGCCATCATCAACTTCACCCTCGGTGAAATCTGTATCATCACCACTCTGAGTTTCTTCTCTGGCTAGTGCTGGTTTACGGAGCGGCTGGTTGAACATGTCGTATATCTCATTCGTGGCAGCCTTGGAGTGGAAGGTCATGGTTGGCTCCTGCGATGAATTTTTGCGCTTCAACTTCTTGCCCGTGGGTGATTCCAGTCGAGTCTTGACCGTCTGAGTCTCTTGCTTGACTTCTCTGATCTTCAACTTCTTCTCTTTCTGTTTCGGCGGCTTGATTGACGACTGAGAATCAGACTCGGGCATGCCGACTATAGATTGAGTGGACACATCGTGAACACTGAGGCTCGAGTTTGCACCACCGTTCAGATCGATCTTATTGGCGAACGAGTGAGTGAGATTCTCGATATCCTCTGGTTCCCGGGACTTGGTGATTTTCGATGTCGCTTTTGCGGCGGCGTTCCCGCCGGCCGGCATCAATGAAGTAGCGTCTTTGCGTGGTCTCCAGTGAATTTCAGCCCAGCCTCTCAACATGGCTCGAAGTTCTTCGAAACTGAATTCCTGGTCACCGATAGGGGGATAGATGGCTTCCAGATCTACGAAGACCCGTTCCGCTCGACCAGTGCGTGGATTGACAACTTGGTCCGGTTGTTTTGGGTCTTGGGTTGATGAAGATCGCTTGGACTGTCCCTGTGCTCGCGATGCCTAGGGTCAAACAAAATCGGTCAGTCGCTCTATGGTCAGGAAGAAGAATGGGATTGAAATCTTGAGTCGTCGACAGAAATTCAGATTCGTATTATCCGAGACTAGACGCGGAAAAAGGTCAATCATACCGGGTCCTTGAAGATCTCCATCTTTGGCACCGATCCAACCCTGCCCCCGGCCTTTAATTTCTCCCCGGCCCATGGCCGAGCTTCAACGGTGTTTTCCTTCTTGCGTTCCTTCATTGATCCAATGGTATCCCATCCCTTGGTGTTATTTGAAGCCAGTGGCTGCTGCTGAACACTATCAGCATCCGAGAAGATGGCCATCTTGGGTTTGCCCGAGCGCGACGTTGACGCGGAGCTGCCACTCAAACCATTCCTCTGACGAGCCTGTGGATCGTCACCGCGGTGGGCGGAGGCGAATGGATCAATCTTGGCTGCGAGAGCGGGTCGAACGGTCGGCAGCGCAGGGGAGCTGGGCTCATTATCAACTTGCGGCCTGGCATCGAACCTCTGCCGGAATTGCGAGTATTTTCGCGCTAATCTCTCCGTCGGTCTGGCCTCCCGTTCAGTCCCCAGCTTGTAAACCTCGTCTGCTTGTATCCATCTCCCTGCAGCCTCTAGCCATGCCGCAAACTCTTCGTAGAACAAGCCCAGCCCTTCGCCAATCCCGTGTCGAGCGAGAAACGCGAAAGTCTCCCTAGGCGTGTCCGAAAACAGGCGGATATAATGCAGCCATAATTTCAGGTAGCGTGGATCATTTTTGTAGTGCGACGAAGTAAGAAAAGCCTTGGTGGCTCGCTCGAGCAGCGGAAGGAGCTGGGACTGAGGAGTTGCTTGAGCTGATGGGTATGCGTTTAGCGTCCATTTGACATATCGGTCGTAAATATCGAGAGGGTCGTCAGAGTCTGCTATTGACTGGAGTTCAATTTCATATTCTTGTCTGATCGCGTCGTTCAGTGTCTTTGTCTCTTCCAAAGTCGGAGTCGCGTTTGCGCCTGTTGGTCTGGAGGAGGAAGGCAGGGGTGACAGTATAGAGGCGAGCTGTTTGACTGAGCGGCCGCCAGGGAGGGATTGGATGTTTTCCTTGTGGGTTTCTATTATGTCGAAGTTAATGAGGTCGCCGTCGGTGGCGACAGGTGCGGCCATTGCTGCCGTGGTATCGCCTGCACAATCTATCCCTGTGTCCACTAGCTAATATGTGGTCGTGCAAAGTGTGCTGTAGCAAACAATCGGAATCAATGTGGTGGAAAAGAGATGCAGGCGAAGTGAGTTGATCGGGCAACCTGCGGTCCATGTCGAGGTGTCAACAAACAATCCCTAGAGTTGTCCCCGAAGTTTACCCGACACGTTCTCATCCCGACATCCCCGCCACACCGATTGCAACGCAAGTTGCTGACATTGATCCTTCCAACATCAAGCCACAACCGCGAATGGCACGCCTAAAACAAGGTGAGCTCCGGCAGGTAGAAACATAAAGACAGTCCTCCTACCGAGTATTCGCTTTATTGTTCATATTCTCTTCTGCTGCTTATAGACGTTGCCGTCCCTATTCCCACTCCACGCGCTGAGACGTTACCACCATCCATGGCTATCTCTGCCCTTCCTGTTTGGCCGTTGATTCTTTTCGGTATCTTGGAGCCGGCAGCGCTGTACGGTCCCTGTCTGCTGTAAAGGCCGGATGGTGGTGCTCACTGACATGTACAGGACTTGGGCGTACTTTATCACCCTTTCCCAGCCTGAACAATATTATGCCGAGCAAGCCCCCAACACTGCTATCTCGAACCTCCTCTTCACTGCCAATGCCCTTTCTCTGACTCTTCAGCTCGGCAATGTCTTTCTTCTCCTTGCGGCAATGGCAGTCATCTGCTGCTTTACCAACCATCCTGAAATTGCCAGGAGGTACTTGATCGCGGTAGCTGTGGCCGATTTGGGGCACATATATTCCATATACTGTGCTCTAGGTGACAAGGTGTTCTGGGATCTTAATCAGTGGAATCAGATGACATACTCGAACGTTGGGGTTAGCGTGTTCTTGCATATTAACAGGTTGATGACTGTGACTGGGACGTTTGGGCAACTCGGAGCTGGCGTGAATGCCGCCCAAAAGAACAAATAGGAAATGATATGAAATGTTAGAAGGTCGTCAGATAGCCTTGGATTGATATTTCAGCCCGATGGGCCGACGATTGTTGAGGGTATCTCTGCGCCGAGCTCGCAATTGCTTGAGTTTCAATTTTTATGCCTGGGCACGGAAAGCATTTCTTCTTCGACTATCTATTCACTCTTCTCTCCACAAAAGCCGTAGTGACACCTCCGGACGGCGGTAAGCACTCTACGCTCGAGAGTTGGCCATCTGAACAGCACGGCGACGATCTCTCTCCTCGGCAATGGACAACTGGAAAAGACACCGTCAGCTTAAGCCAGAGGCCAGAGCACACGCAGGAAGCTTACCTTGATACCCTTGTTCTTGGGCAGACTGATCCACTCTCTCTCCTTGCCAATGATGAAGACGTTACTCTCTCGAGTCGCAAACGAGTTGTCAACCTTATCCTTGATGTGTACAATGTTAAAGCCACCGTCGTGTCTCTCGCGATGTGTAATGACACCAACACGACCCATGTTACGACCGCCAGTAACCATAGCAATCACACCAGTATCGAATCGGATGAAGTCGGTAATCGTTCCAGTGCGGAGGTCGATCTTGACTGTGTCGTTGACCTTGATGGCTGGATCTGGGTATCGGATACTATTAATCCACATCAGCATCTTGACTTGCTCTCTTTCCAACCACAGCTTGGCCCAACGGCTGATAGATGCAGGCGGTGACTTACGTGCGAGCATCATGCGTAACCAAGTATGGGATTCCTCCTTTGCCAAGTTGAACTCTCTTGACCTTGCCGAGTTTGTATTCTGCTTCTTCCCGTTGGATGCGGTGGATGGCGAAGCGACCTTTGTTATCGTAGATCAGACGGAAGTATTCCCCAACCTTGTCAATCGAGATCACGTCCATGAAGCCCGCAGGGTAGGTCATGTCCGTTCGGACCTTGCCATCGACCTTGACCGAACGGTCCATCACAATCATCTTGGTCTCTTGATTGTTCAGGGAATATTTAAGGCGGTTTCGGAGGAGGATGATCAAGGGAAGGCAGTCGCGGCTTTTCTACATGGTTTTTTGTTAGCATTTCCTTTGCGTCGCACAGACTTAAAGAGACCAACGTGAGGCCCAGGAGATGCCTTGGGAGCGTAGGCACCCGAGAGCTTGTCCAAAAACCAGTGCGAAGGCGCACTGAGACGCTTCTGATGCTTCTTTGGACCACGACCCATCTTGATCTGGTGGTTGATAGGAGAGAGAACAATCCGCAACGGTAGAATCGACAGCGGAAAAAGAATAATTGGAATTTGGTTGTGGCCCTCGCCAAGATTATTGGGACTAGCCTCTTTAGGGAAAAGCTCTAAAAAGATGTGAAGGTTGTCATTTGAAAGCCAAATTGGCCCAAACATCCTGCAAACTGAGAGTCGAATATCAGTGTGGACCGAGTTTCCTTTTCTTCTAGGTATTGCACTATCATGTCGCTCCGAAACTTTTTAAGTCATCGTTTCCTTCGCATTTAAGCTGCTGCCGAGTGCTTAACCCACTCATTTAAGTACACTCACAGCAACCCTTGGATGATCGCGGCCTCTGCATTTAGGATAGAAGAGCCGGCTGCTCCAATGACGGTATTGTGGCTCAATGCGGCAAACCTGATGTCAAAGTGTGACCCTTTTGCAGCCTCCCGAACTCTACCCACGCTGACCGCATACCCTCCTGAGATATCCCTGTCAAGTCGTGGCTGAGGCCTGTCCGGCTCGTCGAAGACAACGATGGCCTTCTCAGGAGCTGATGGGCATCCCAGCTTCTGCGCCTCGGCCACATACTCTCTCATGGCCGCCTTCACCTGTTCGGCAGTGGGCGCAGGTCTATGCTTGAATCGCAATGACACGTATGCCATGTGGCCGTCTGTGACACCCACTCTGGTGCAAGTAGCGCCCACTGTCAGGTCTGACTGTTCTTCGAACGCAGTTGCGTCTGAATTAATAGAGCCCAGAATCTTTTGGGCTTCAGTCTCGAGTTTGTCCTCTTCTCCCGCAATATAAGGGATAACATTATCCACGATGTCCATACTGGCGACGCCTGGATAGCCGGCACCTGATACAGCTTGCTCGGTGAACACCTCGACATCTTCAACTGGTCCGAACTTCGCTTGGAGTGCGGCAAAGGGGATGACGATCCCGATGACGGCGCAATTTGAATTGCAGACCAAAAATCCTTTGTTTAGACCGAAATGTTTCCGTTGGTGGGGGATCAGTGCCAGATGCGAAAGATTGACTGTTGGCACGACCAGCGGTACGACTGGGTTTCTCCGGTAGTTCTTTGCATTTGAGAAAACAGGAATATCAGCCTTCAAGAATTCCATTTCTGCAATCAAATCAGCGGCAAGTCTAAGCATGGGACCGAAGCATAGGTATTCGCCATACCGACTTCTCCAGCAACATCGCTGTCCAAGCCGGAGAAAGCCAAATCACAGTCCTTGAAGTTGCTGGCTTTACACTCCCTAACTTCGAGATTGGCTAGTTCTGTCGACATCGGTCGGGCTTGTTTCCATCTGACGGCATCTTTGTATAGTTTGCCAGCAGACCTCGACGACGCTCCAACGGCCTGTAAGTGGAGCATCGGGTGGTTAGCCAGCAGAAGAATGAACCTCTGGCCCACGGAGCCTGATCACCGAGTCAGCACATTCGAGCAGATTGATATCGTGATACAGATACACACCCGTTGCCCCGAGGACAGCACATTTCTTCTTGGGCTGCGATGTTGGCGCTGCCATGTTGAACGTCGCCGAAGGACAGAAAGGGTTTCGTTGTAACTCGAGAGTCGACGCAGACTTTTGGTCGACGCGTGACGCCCTAGGGGTGAAGTAGGCTGCCCTGTAGAGTTAATTAACCTTTGCGTCTTCCCGCGTTGAACGTGAACCGGAATGTGATTGTTCAAAGTTTTGCATCTGAGTCACTCGCGATAAGAAAAAGTGGCGCCCACGTTGTAATGACCGCCAAGAGGGGGAATTGTGGCGTGTGTCGGTGGCTGTGCGTGTAAATGAAAAATCTATACGGCGAGACAGAACACATATTCCTGTTGTAGTTGTTGTTGTTTTTGTGCACTAGAGTGTTATCCAGGGGGAGCCTCTTGAGCTAAGGAAGCCCACGTGATCCCATACTGTCGACATGAGCCCGAAGCTTGCGATCATATGCCTTGCCTGGCTTTGTAAAGAGGGACGAAGCTCAAAAGATAACAACCGAGTGGCCGGATGAGATTCAACCGGTCCCTTGTAAATGTCTATGTACCGAGTACTCTGTTCTGATTCTGATTGTGCCGCCCGACTCCATCTCCCATTTGTGCTCAATCACATGATTCCACGGTAATGGCTGCAATGAGTCTCACAAGTTATCGACTGCCCAGACTGGCGAATGACGCGCAAGATGAGACACTTACCAAGGGGGATCTGCATCTGCTGCTCAAGGCCATTCTTCGCGCTGAGATAGTAATGAAAGAGTCCTTCAGATTGTCGGTGTTGGTGGTCGCAGATATATTTCTGCTATCCCTAACTGGACTTCTGGCACCATAACGGCAAACCGCAACCGCAGATGGCCTCTGCGCTGCCGATCTTGGTAGAGGCATCCGGCCGGGCTTTCAGAATACCCGAGTCAATGGATGCCGAAAATTGACCTGGTCTTGTGATGTTGGCCTCGGTCCATTTTTCATTGTGGGAAGTTCGCTCAATCAGCGAACAACATCATTTCCGAAACGGTCAAACTGCAGATTCGACTGCATCTAAGCTATGCCGGTCACACTGCGGGTGTCCCGGTCTCGCTTAAAGACCGGAACGAACTCATTGATGGACACAGCACCCCGCTCTGATTGATTACCCAGGCTTCTTACCCCAGACAAAGTGGTAATCGACATATAGATGGAGATTTGGGTTGATCAGATCTTGCTTGACTCTTTCAATTGTGACAAGGGCCTGGTCGATTGTGTATCCCAGAACCCTGGTAAATATGGCCAGAGTAAACGGCTCGACGGCGTCGACAAACTGTGCGCGGTAATAGGTCCC